TGCATGACTGGCTGATTGAACACTCAAAATTGTCCCAAAGCGTGAGTGTGGGTGTGGATGGTTGTTCGTCTTTGTGCGCCCTTCGATTGGCTGGCAACCGGTTCAGGGTGTCCCCAGCCTATTGCACAAAGATAGCTGGGATAGGCTCCAGCACGCCCCACGACCCTTGTTAGGATAAAGTGGATCAGAAAATAGATGAATGGAAATGTCAAATAAAGTAGTCAAATGAAGATATGAATAGAGGGTGTAAATCCATCCATCCATCCATCCATCCACCTTCTACCGCTTATCCGGGGTCAGGTCCCGGGGGCAGCAGCTTTAGCAGGGAAGCCCAGACTTCCCTCTCCCCAGCCACTTCTTCTAGCTCTTCCTGGGGGATCCCGAGGTGTTCCCAGGCCTGCTGGGTGACATAGTCTCTCCAGCGTGTCCTGGGTCGTCCCCGGGGTCTCCTGCCGGTGGGACATGCCTGGAACACCTCACCAGGGAGGCATTCAGGAGGCATCCTAATCAGATGCCCGAGCCACCTCATCTGGCTCCTCTCGATGCGGAGGAGGAGCGGCTCGAATCTGAGCCCCTCCCGGATGACCGAGCTTCTCACCTTATCTCTAAGGGAGAGCCCGGACACCCTGCGGAGAAAACTAATTTTGGCCGCTTGTATCCAGGATCTTGTTCTTTCGGTCACGACCCATAGCTCGTGACCATAGATGAGAGTTGGAACACAGATTGACCGGTAAATTGAGAGCTTCGCCCTTTGGCTCAGCTCCTTCTTTACCACGACAGAACGATACAAAGTCCGCAGCACAGTAGTCGCACCGATCCGCCTGTCGATCTCCCGCTCGCTCCTGCCCTCGCTCGTGAACAAGACCAAAAGATACTTAAACTCCTCCACTTGGGGCAAGATCTCCTCCCCGACCCGGAGAGGGCACTCCACCCTTTTCCGACGAAGGACCATTGTTTCAGATTTGGAGGTGCTGATATTCATCCCAACCGCTTCACACTCGGCTGTGAAATGCTCCAGTGAGAGTTGGAGAGCCCTGCTTAAAGGAGCCAACAGTACCACATCATCTGCAAAAAGCAGAGATGCAAAACTGTGGCCACCAAAACGGACACCCTCAATGCTGCACCTAGAAATTCTGTCCATAAAGGTTATGAACAGAATCGGCGACAAACGGCAGCCTTGACGGAGCCCAACCCTCACTGGAAACGATTCCGACTTACTGCCCGCAATGCAAACCAAGCTCTGACATTGGTGTATAGCGACCGAACAGCCCGTATCAAGGGGTTCGGTACCTCATACTCCCGAAGCAACCCCCCAAAAAACTCCGCGAGGGACATGGTCAAACGCCTTCTCCAAGTCCACAAAGCACATGTTGACTGGTTGGGCAAGTTCCCGCGTACCCTCGAAGACCCTGCTAAGGGCGTAGAGCTGGTCCACTATTCCACGGCTGGGACGAAAACCAGACTGCTCCTCCTCAATCTGAGGCTCGACTTCCCGACGGACCCTCCTCTCCAGCACCCATGAATAGACCTTACCAGGGAGGCTGAGGAGTGTGATCCCTCTGTAGCTGGAACACACCCTCCGGTCCCCCTTTTTAAAAAGAGGGACCACCTCTCCGGTCTGCCAATCCAGAGGCACTCTCCCCGATGACCACGCGATGCTGCAGAGGCGTGTCAACCAGGACAGCCCCACAACATCCACAGCCTTGAGGAACTCCGGGCGGATCTCATCCACCCCTGGGACCTTGCCACCGAGGAGTTTTTTTAACCACATTGGTGACTTCAACCACAGAGATAGGAGAGCCCACCTCAGAGTCCTCAGACTCCTCTTCCTCCCAGGAAGGCATGTTGGTGAAGTTGAGGAGGTCCTCGCAGTACTCTGCCCACCGACTCACAACGTCCTGATTTGAGGTCAGCAGCGCCCCATCCACAGTACAGAGTGTTAGTGGTGCACTGCTTCCCTGTCCTGAGACGTCGGATGGTGGACCAGAATTTCCTCAAAGCCGTCCGGAAATCGGCCTCTATTGGCCTCCCCGAACTCTTCCCACGCCCGAGTTTTTGCCTCGCGACCACCAAAGCTGTGTTCCGCTTAGCCAGTTGATACCCATCAGCGGGTCAGTGTGTAAATATAGACAGTGAATGAAATGAAATTCCTTGGGTTAGTAATTTCATTTCATTCAATTTGCTGGAAAGCATACAAACAACATATCCAGTCAAAAATTGAAAGAAGTATTTCTGTCCTGGCAAAAGCAAATCATGCAATTGTTCACCACACAAGCCAGTTATTTCTGTAATCCAAAGTCTTAAAACTTGTTGCAAGTGTAAAATTTAAAACTGCACAATTGATAAAGCTAGACATAATTTGAAAATTTTAAATTAAATTTTAAATTCATTTTAGGTGGCCCAGTGGTCCAGTGATTAGCACGTCGACCTCATAGTGCAGAGGTACCGGGTTCAATTCCAGCTTCGGCCTCCCTGTGTGGAGTTTGCATGTTCTCCCCGGGCCCGCGTGGGTTTTCTCCGGGTACTCCAGTTTCCTCCCACATTCCAAAAACATGCATGGCAGGCTGATTGAACACTCTAAATTGTCCCTAGGTCTGAATGTGAGCGTGGATGGTTGTTCGTCTGTGCATGCCCTGCAATTGGGTGGCAACCGGTTCAGGGTGTCCCCCGCCTACTGCCCGAAGACAGCTGGGATAGGCTCCAGCACCCCCCGCGACCCTTGTGAGGATAAAGCGGTTTGGAACATGGATGGATGGATACATATGTTTTTTAGAACAAGAGGGAAGTTATGATGAAATGAAATATGGAACAGACTAAATGGGAAACTACAACAATGTCCAAATATATGTATAACATCTAGATAGATAGATATTTGTTTTGTTTTTATGAACTTTTTAAAAGCGTGGCAGGGGTACTTTCTGGACCTGAATTTCCTATCTTTGTTTGTAAAGGGGAGCTTTTTGGGTCATTGACAACATAAACATTCTCTAAATGTTAAAATGCATCAAAGGTTGAAGCAACACACTCCTGAAAATTCATTGTTCTTCATTAGATGAGGCAGTGTGTATAAACATTAACCGTACAAATATTAATGACATCCAATTCCCTGAAAAGAGTTTAAGCTGAAGAAGTTTCAAAATAAGAACAAACGCTGCACAGTGCCATCTTGATTCATTTTGAGCAGTTCACGAAATCACTCTGACCTAAAATAGGAGGGCAGTCTTTCTGGCTCCAGAATCAGCACGTCCTTGGCATCCCAAAAACAAGGACAACAATGTCTAAATTCTGGAGTGAGAGTGCTGCTTTTTTGAAAGAGGTGTACAGGAAGCATTTCTACTCACACTAGAAAGGCCCTTTCAAAATAGAGGAAAGGTTGTCCTGATATATCTCTCTACCCAAAATTGTCCCAACCCATGTGTAAAGTGGCTATTAAGAAGAAGATGAAAAACCAGTCGGTAAGAAAAATATTAATCATCCACATCTGGCAATGACAACAAAAAGCAACAACCCTTGTTGATCATTCCGAGGGGGATTCTACAACTATGATTTAGAACAGAAGAAATCTGCTTGATTGCAGTTTGTAGTACTGTTTTTGTTGTGCTATTTGTGATTATATTTACTTGGGTTATTTGTTTGATGATATTAAATATTAAAGTGGAGGAACCAGGCAAAATAGATTTTCAAAGGAGAGAAAATCCTTTTTTTCTAGTCACTGTGTGTAAGGTTATAGACAAGGGTGCACCTAAAAATTTTGGTGTGGCTCTCAGATGAGCACCAAAAGATGTCGGTTGGTGCTTATTTTTTTTCCAAAGCCACCAACCTCATGGTTGAATGTAAAGATTTATCGCACATCTGGGCAAAGTAGGGCCCACGGGCCACAATCCAGCCTGTCCACAGTCTCTGCAGCCTTTATAGGATGTCAAACTAAAAAGTCAAGTGTGCTGCTTTTATTTTGGTTATGAATCACAACACACTTCATAAATAAACATGTATGCTAAACATTTACGCTCTCTTTCCCCGCTCTCTCCTTCCTCTCTTCCTCTTTCTCACACACACACCACACACACACACACACACACACACACACACACACACACACACACACACACACTCTCTCACTCTTTCTCTCTGTACTGTCTTTGTGCCTTTTCAAATTACGTGAAAAGTAACACTACCATAACATTCCATGTGGACATATATCTAGTTAAAATTATAAATTACTTAACTCATTCAATGGCAGCCATTTTTTTGTTTTCAAATTGGCCATTTTTGACCATTTTGACAAATTTTTGAAGGCCAACAGAAAATGTAGTTCTATCGCTACATTAATCATAGAACAATCAGATGACAGCTTTTAGCCTCTTCTTTCATCAAAAAAAAAAATCTACCTTTTACCATTCTTTAGCAAAGAGCAGTAGAACATTGGTCAGTTTCTTGAAAATACTTGTTTCCAAGAAAAATTCAGAGAAACAGAGCTTTTTGTGAAAGGATGCATTTCAAGCAGAACTTTCTACGGAATACCAACATAAACAACATAAAAAATTTGATTCATTCATTCATTTTGATTCCAAGAGAAACACTGCACTGATACATGACATGAAGTTTTCATGAACGTTGAACTCCGTGTGTGTGTGCGTGTGTGTGTGTGTGTGTGTGTGTGTGTGTGTGTGCGTGCGTGCGTGCGTGCGTGTGTGTGTGTGTGTGTGCGCGTGTTCGTCAAAGAAGGACTCATCTTTTTTTATCCTTGACAAAGCTCTGTTGTCGAGTTATCTGCCTATATTTATCCATGTGTAATGGGAATTTGACATATAACAGCGCTAAACGGAAGTAACTGTTTGTACTATTGAATGCTGACCAGTTATTTTGCGGATAAGCAAAGTTGCACTAGTTTGTACTCTGTGTAGCTGCTCAAAATGCTGATTGCGCTGGCCTTCACCACCTCCCAACAAGATAACATGAGAGCGCAAGACGCGGAGGGGGAGAAGGCTCCCTTGACAGATCTGTGAATGGTGTCCCTCTGTGTTTTTTTCTTTTCTTTTTCTTTCTTAAATAAAGATCATCATTTTTTATAAATACTTTTGTTGTCTTGGTTTCCCTGGACAAGACACATGTTCTCACAACCACACTGCTTGCGTGCGCCATGTCACGACGATCGGGTTTTTGCAAACATATTTTTACGTTTTGGCATTAGATGTGTTAATGGGGGGGCGATAATTTCATATCAGTATGCATCGCAGCCGACACGTGATTAATATCAGTAGAAAATATTTTCAATAAAATGCTAGATAGAAAATAAAAAACATAAAGCAAAACCCGACTGTAGCATTGTCCTAATTGTTTGGCCGCCTCCAAAAACGAAGAAGCAGCCGCTAAACCACGAACGAAGAAGTGCCCACGGCATACTTAGACAGAGAACGAGAGAGCGACGTAACAAAATTCAAATAAATGACCATTCGACTTTGTACAACTCTTACAAGATATATTGTGCATACTAACGGATTGAGACGTGGTGTACAAATAAAGATGGGTCTTTTTCTTTGACGTGCTAGGTCCACTGTGAGCCATTTTCGAACCTCTGCATCACACGCCAATTAAAATCAGGCAAGTAAAATATGAATGGACTATGACAATCACGAGCCCGCTAATAAATTAATCCATAAACGGTTGGTCAACACTAACGCATACACGGCAAGAGATTATTAGTTCACTTCACTTACATTATATGAACATTGAATGAAGGTAAATGTAACCATCAACTATGATGCTTTGGGGCAGCATGTAAGGCAAGTAAGCATTTACAGTGCACTGGTGGAAGAGAAACTGCACATTACAATTTACACAAAAGTTCTTTTTTTTCTCATTAAATAGGTTAAAAAACAATCAGTATTGACTGATATGAAATACATAATATTATTTTAAAAAATCAGCCACATCGCCTATCCCTACTTAGCACATGATGTTAAAAAAAGGTGTTTCTTTAGTTGGTATATTGACTTGTTTATTTGACTTTTTCATGGTTGCTTTAATTTCATATTAAAGATGAAGTATTATATGTTAAAATACAATTACATATATTTCGCAATTTTTCTTTATTCAGAGCTTTATTTTCAATAGTAAAAACAATCAAAAACATTCTATCAAATTCAGTCATATCGCTAAGGCCTAAAGTTAATCTAAAAAAAATAATGGATGTAGATGAAAGTCAAATATTGTAATCATATGAAAGAATGAAAATAATATATCGGAATTTTGTATATTGTATTCATAGAATTGAGCATTTGAACCCAATCAGTGCTAAGACTGAATAATTTTGTACAAAATAAAACTATTGATATACAGTTTCACTCAAGTGTAACACTAATTTTACCAAACCAAGTTCTTTCAAGTAATTCCTTTAAAAAAATAAATAATAATAATAATAATACACATAATAATAAGACTATTCAAAGTGGCTGCATTTTCAATATATTATTCACCCCTAAAATAAAGTGAAACTTTGAAAAAAAGAAAGAATAGTTAAAGCAACAATTAAAGTTTGAAGTTAATACAAACAACATACCAACGGTATTGTTCATAAAACATACAAATGCATGGATATAGGCAATTATTCATTATCCGTTATTTCAAATGCTTTTTAAAGAATATTCTTCCCTATTTGTTTTTGTATTTAGTCACTTTTTTAATCAACATAACGCTGGGGCAAATTTGCTTTTCTCATCATATCCTTCTGAAAATGTATGTCAGTAGAGGGAGCTAAAGAGCTAGAATTTCAAAACATCTCTGTTGAAGCGCTGCATCAGATCTATAAAAAGTGTGTGGTTGTATTATAATATCGGGAGACGCGCACACAAGTAGCATTTTGTAGAATTTATCTATGAAGAAAAATAGCATCCACTGTACATGCATAGTCCAACAGTCTGGGCAGTCACTCATAAGAAAACTCTTTCCTATTTTTTGTTTAAATCCGTCAATCCAGCCAACCAGCGTACTCCTTCACTGATCGCCAGTCCGTCAAAGCAGGGGGGATTAAGCCCAAGGCAGCTGTATGAAAACGGCTACAGTCTGAATTGCAACAAAACCAATGTACACATTTCAATATCACTCAATGTCAAATTTGCTTGTAACTTCCTTTATTTCACTGGGGTTATACAGGATGTATATTTTCACTTTTATACTCTTTGCTGACTATAGCTGTCTATTTCAATTATTTCTGATGTCTTTAGTAATAATATGAATAATATTAACATTCAAATAACAATAATAATAATAATAATAATAATAACTTCTCAGATTTCTTTCAGAATATATTATTATTATTATTATTATTATTATTTTGATCATTCTCTTCCACTGATTTGCACTCCTCAGTCCTTTCAGCTATTTGCCTGCCACCCATGCCATACACGCCTTACAATGACACATAAATTCACATTGCATGGCAAAAATATTTTGTCATTAATTTATACATTTTAGATGGTATGGCAAGCTGTATTTTGGTGTATCTCTGGAGGAACCACATTTCTTATTTGGGTGTAGCGATACAAAAGAAAAGGAAACTTTTGTTCTTAAATCCTGCTTATGCATTACAATTGAAAAACATATCATTTTAAATTGTAATAATAAATAGTGATCATTCTCACTTTGGACAGATGCATCTGTTTGGGTGCATAGGGTTTAATAGGAGTGTGTGGACCAGTAACCCGAGGGTGAGGGATTAAGAAGGAGCCAATGTAGAAAAGGTTCACGTTTGGGCTCTTAGGGAGAGCTCTATCACAATCCGAGAGCGAAAAGAATAAAGAAAGCAGCACAGCGAGATGGCATTATTAGACAGTCGCAAACTCAATATTGTTTTCACAAAGCTACGGGGGCGGCATGACTCATTGGTGGAGCGGTCGTTTTCCTACACACAGGTTGGTGGCTTGATCCCCGGCCACTGCGACCATGTCGAAGTGTCCTTGAGCAAGATACTGAAGCCCCTGTTGCTCCTAATGCTGCGTATTCAGAAGGTGAATGTGGTAACAGTGTAAAAGCGCTTTGAGTACCCGAGGTAGGAAAGGGCTGGACAAGTAACAGCCCATTTACAAAGCTATAATTTGCAAGTGTAAACTGATAGATCACCACAAAATCCAAGAAATAGATTAAGCTCAGCAAATAGAATGAATTAGGAACTTTGTCAAATATCTAAATTGCATTGTTTTTAGAATTATAGTGTTCTTTAGGGTGGCGGACATTTTGGAAAATAGTGGGAACACAAAATGGCGGACATGATGATTGCAGCAGAATACAGAGGCAAGACACCTTTTAATTTACAGTAGGTATGATGATGTTACATCACAATACATGTTAGTTTTGTTGTTGTTGTTGTTTTTTGGAGTGCCTAATAGTGCTTATGTCGGATGTCGGGGGGGCGGGGGGGATTTGAATTTAATAGTAAATGTACATATTACACTACAGTGCATTAAGGACATTGTGTCAGACAATATAGAGAACATCTGACACTAAAACTGTACAACTGTCTTACGTTTGGGTAACTGAACAGGCATTTAACTGTTCACATGCCCCTTGAGTGTAGGGGCGGGCAATTAACTTTGCCCCTGGGCCACATGAAAAACTGGAGCACTTGCCGAGGCCCAAGCCAACATGCTAACCTCAACTTTGTCTCTAATATTTTTAATATATTAAGCACATTGTATTTTTTCAATAAATTGTTAGTGTGTAGAAATGGTATGTAAATTACAAGCGGTCATTAAAATTACATCATTACACTTAATATTTAGCCCTTAAGATTAAGCTGAATTTTCTATACCAACTGCCAACTCATATAAACTGTTCCCAGCCAAGACCTAATATATAGATAAGTGGGAAGTATAATATTATTGACATTAGTGACGTACAATGGGTTGTGAATAAGTGATGACTTGTAATACACCCAAATATGGAGAGTGCATAAAAAAACAGTATTGTTATTTTTTTCTGTTTTTACATCAGGAACCGTATATATTAACAAGCATGTCTGTAAATATGTCGGATTTAGCCAGAAGGATATTTTTCAGATGCAGTCCCTAGACAGCTGGTGTCACCCTCAAAGAAAAAAAATAAAATAAGAAAATATACAACAGTAACAATTTATTTACCAAAGGTACAATTAAGATAATATACATGTTTATATAAAACAATGCATTTACTGAAAAATGTACAATAAGTTAAAATGTACATTAGAAACACAAGGGGCCAACAATTAGCCAAACATACCCCAAAACATTTACAAGAAAACGCAAGATTCCAGCATAGCATCAAGAGCAGGTCTTAGTGTTGGCATTTCTGATAAGCAATTAATCATTTGTTTAGTTGAAATTTAAATGTAATGTATGTATTTATGTTTGATGGTGAGAGGGGTGAGATTCCACTCCGCGGCCGCACCTTTTCTAAAGTGAACGAAGCAATCTCCCCTTGCTGCACCGCTGGTGCTGCTGTGGTCAGATGTTTGAATGTTAACAAAATGGCAAAGAGGAAGGTAAGATAAACCATGAATGATTTTATAGATAAGACATACCAGGAGATATGAATATTTCACCATGTTTTCCCAGGTGAGTAATCTGTATTTTTATAATACAGAGCTACCAATGTGATCTATTTGGTTTTTTATCGAGAATTTTTACAGTGTGTTTGTGATTGGAAAGGCTTCAGAGATATAACATTAGCTTGAGACCTAACAGGTAAACAGTAGGTGAGATATGAGAAAACCATAAAGTGCAGGTACATTTTTGTTACCTGTGTGGACATGATGGTGGATGTGTCTAAAATTACTGCGGTTAAATTTAATTCGATGACAGGCACTTTTTACACGTGGTATTGATAAATTAGAATCAATGAATTAAAGATAAATGTAGTCCGAAACAATTTGAAGCCTTTTCCTCTGAAACTATTACATCAGGCTCAACATTGGTGTGATTGGTGTCATTGCTGGCCCTCTTCACTCCACCGTGCAGGAAATACGTGTAAGAATGCTGCGAATAT